CTCTCAGCTTCCTGCTCTAGCTGCCTGCTTCCATGCTGTCCCCTCCAATAGGGACTCTTAATCCTCTGCAGTCAAGACTCAGATAAACTCTTCCTTCTGTAGATTGCCTTGGTCACGATATTTTATCACAGCAACAGAAAAGTAACTAATACAAACACCTTGTGTCTTTCCCTCATCCATGTCCAGCGGCCCCATTAAGGCTAAATAATTCCAAAGCTTTTCAACAGAAGTAATTTTGAGATACTTATTGTTTAATAAGAAATTCAGCTGAGTTTGTCTTTAAAAGGTCTGTTAGGTAATGTATATTTGCTTCTCCATCACCATATTTAATGAAAACTATAATGTATGCTGCCTTTGAACATCCTCTCAACCTCTAAAAATTATTGGCTTTGCTTCTATGTTGTGACACAGGTCAGTGTCAAATGCCTTACGCTGTTTAAATTTTCTGCATTATCCCTCTTCCTCCTCTTTCTCTCTTTCTTTTCTTTCTTTCTTTCTTTCTTTCTTTCTTTCTTTCTTCTTCTTTCTTTCTTTTTTTGGGTGTCTAGGATCAAACTTGTAAGTACTCTCCCACTGAGCTACATCCTTATCCCACGTCTCTATCTTCTAAATTTAAAATGAATGTCTTAAAATTCATGCTATCTCTAATATCTTATCATCTATATTATTTTTTTAAGTTAAGGCTCAAAGGAGGTAAACAATGCCAGCTTCAGTAATCTGAGTGCTGATGAAACCTCCATTACATAATTGCCAATAGCCTGGAATGCAATGAGCAGGGCAGGTTTCTCTGACTCACTTTTCCAATCTCTGCTCCAGCCCTTTCCTTTCCAAACCAGCAGCTCCCACAGCCAGTTTCTACTTTTTTTGAATTTGTATCTGACTCAGTGAGGAAAAGTTGTCCCTCCTTGCACAGCCCAAGAAAGGGCACCAGGAGGCTTCCCTCTGGCCCAGTTACCTCCTTCTCCCAATTCATGTGTTCCCACCCATACCTCTATTGCTATCTACCTCTAACAAAGGTTCGTGTGGCTCAAGGTATGTTGTTTGGCAAGGAAAGGTATAGCTCAGAAAGCTGACTTATCTTCAGAGGAAAGAGGGGCTGCTTAAGTTACATCATTAGCTATTTCCAAATTAACATAAAGAGAAAAGTTCATCACTGGAACAAGAAGTGCAGCCTCAGCACAAGTTGAGTGGATCCTTTCTGTATCTGACTTGACTTTCAGTCATTCTTCTGTGTCTTGGCTCTGAACCTTCTTGAACACGTTCTTTTGTACATATAAGTGAGCATTGCTTTCTGTTGGCTGTACACCCAGAGGTGGAATCACTGGACCAGCCAGGTACTGTCTGTTTTCCAACGTGAGTTTACCTAGTTATATGGCCACCAACAATGCAATTTAAATCTCCAAACTTTGCCAAAGCTTCATTTGGTGGTGTTTTCATTTACTCAGATCTGCTGGGGTGTGTAGTGGTATGTCATTACTATTGTAATTTGCAATCTCATCCGGTGATTCTGAACTTTCCACTGCTTAGTTGTTATTTCCCATATCACTCCAATCAGACTTTCCTATCCATCACTCTAATGAAACCACTTCGGTGCAGTAACAAGTGGCCTTCCTGATGCTAAATCAATTCTCAGTTCTCCTTCTCTTGACCTCCAAAACCACACACTTCTTGTTATGCTCCAACCTCAGTGGCTACTCTTCCTCAATCTTTACCAGTCCTTCCTGATATCCCAACCTCTTGACGTACAAGTGGCCTATTCAACTCTATTTCTTCTTGCCCCAACCTCTTCATCTTTTCCTTGCTCTTTTGTATTTATATCAATTATAGCTATTAATAATATGTAATATGCCATATTTGGTATTTACCTCCTGGTAAGAGGTATAAGCTCCATGAAAACAATTTTGTTTCTCTTTTACTTTTTGGCCTGTTCTCTATATTGAAACAGTCTCTGGCCCACAGAAATATCTAGTAAAGAAATGAGTGTTTAATTAAATGAATGAAATGACAGGGAAGAAATGGTAAGAGGCACTGGAAAGATATATTCTTCCAAAAATATTTAATTTTACTAATATAGACACAGTCCTCTTCGGACCCTGACCCTCTGGAGTTTATATGACTTACAAGAGTTCAGGTTTCAAAGAGCTTCCTTTGAGTGTAGAAGTGGGTCACTGTGCTGGTTAGTGTTAATTGTCAATGTAATAGAATCTGGAATCACCTGGGAGATGAGCCTCTGCACAAGCCAGTGGAAGATTATCTTGATTCCTTTAATTGAGAAGGGAAGACCTCCCTGGTTGGTATCCCATACAGTATAAAAGGAGGAAGGGAGTTAAGCAGTAGCTTTCATTCATCCCTCTCTGCTTCCTGATTGTGGATAGAAGATGCTATGCATCAAGCTCTTATTGCCTTGAATTCCCCACGATAGATTGTACCTTGGAAATCGTGAGCGAGAATAAACCCCTTTTCCCATAAGTTGATTTTGTCAGTGGATTTCATCACAGTAACATAAAAGTAGCTAAGGTATGTAGACATAAATGCAAAAGAATCAAGTCCTGAAAAAAATCTGGCTTTGTTTTTTCATGGCAAGTATCAAGGAGTCTTTCAAAAGAAAGCACTGAAGTAACTTTATAATCAGTTTACACTAAAACATAAGCTTAGAACAGGTATAGTTTGACAAGGCTCGCATTGTATTACTGTTTTCTAATTTTCTAGCAGATACCAATGAACATAACAGCTGTTGCATTTCAAGCTAGGGTGTAGTTGGAGCCAGCTACTGAACCGGCCTAAACTCTGGTTTATATAATAAAATTGGTTGATAAGCTAGGTGACTGTGTCTGTGACCAGAACCATGAAATAGAAAGATCACAAGGAAAGGCCAAAGTAAACAAGTTTGGTAGTATATGTTGGAAGGAAGGAAGGAAAGAACTCTTGGTTTGGCCTGAGGCAGATCAAGAGAGTAAAGCACAAATGAGAGCTGCAGGTCAAAGCTGTGTGTTAAGAACAAGGCAAAGAACACACAGAATGTTTGGTAGAACTTAATACACATTTGAAGTTCCAGGTTCCTGGAAGGCAGAGCTATTGCTAGCTCTCCCAAAGTCCTTTGCAGTGCCAGGTGCTGTGTTAATGGGGCAACAACTGCAGATTTCCAGTCTCCCTGGAAGCCTAACTCTGTAAAGACTGAGAACAGAATAAAGTGATGTAGAAAACTTCACTCTCAGAGCTGGAAACTCTTTCCAAAGTAAACTGAGTTTACTACCAAGATTCCTAGATATAGGATAAAATATTTTTAAAGGTAAATAGATATTGGCTGTTCCAACTCTGTATTCCTTTAGAGTTCCAAAAGGGCCATTTTGGCCAACATGCAACTGTGTTGTCTAGCAGTTTCCTCTGAGATAAAACCTTTCATCTTGGAGGAAGCTTGTTAAGACACAGGATGTTCTAAAAGAAGGTGAAACATTTCATCATACAAGGCCCTTGAGCTTAAACTCAAAGCCCTGAGCTTAAGCTCAGAAAGTAAATAACTCAAAGGTTTCAAGAAGTTCCTGAAACTAACCAAATATACTAGGCCTCTCCCTCCTCAAGCATATATAAGCAATAAGGTCTACAGAGAGACCCTCTCAGACAAGCCAAGCTGTCTGGAAGAAGCAGAGATCATCTGAGATGCCTGGAAAAGATATTCTCCAACCTGTTGATCTGCTGCAGGATGTGCTGTGAGCTCCAGGTTTCCTGCTTTTGTGAGCTGTTGTAAAGCCAAATTCTCTCTTGGGAGGCCCATGCGTGCACTCTCTCTCACCTCCCAGACGCTCTGTGAGGTGCGCTGCCACCTTCTCGGCTCCCAGACCCCACACTGTCCTTATGACTGACTGACAAAACCAACACAATGCAGTCTATTCGGGATTTTGTAGATTTATGGCATCCATGAGAGCATGCACTTATGGGCACTTTCCCCTACACCTCAGCTGAGCTTTCCAGATCAGGTACCACCAGCCAAGATCTCAAACTCCCACCCCCATCCCAGCTTCCTCCATGTCTCTCCTTAGACCTTCCCCTTCATGCAACTGAAACTGACTGATTGGGTGGGAGGGGTGACTATCTCCCCCTCTGTCTACGGAGTCTCTGAAGGCTCATTAGTCATCTGTTGCTAGTTCTTTTGGAGGGCATGCCTATCCAACACTCCGCCTCTTCCTCCGGCTCTCACAATCTTTCTTCCATTCTTCTGCAAGAGTCCAGGAGCCTTGGAGAGGGTGACAATGCAGAATGATCTTTCCTTTATTGTGGTGAGATATTGAACTCTTAAGTCTTTTTATAATTTGTCTTCAAGATGTGGCTGTTGAACCACCTCAGTAGTGTCTCTCCTACTATAAAGACAAATGAAAAGCAGAGGGCACATCTAAACAAACATGGGTATAAATACAAATGCTTAAAAGACACTTTAACAGGTGTGTCATATTTATCAAACAAAATACTTGCAGTGGCTTCCCCATTGGGGCCTATAGCTCTCCCTAACACAGGGGGTTGGCCTGGTCTACAGCACCAGATGTGTGCTCGACCCCTAGGAATGGGCTTTATCCAATTAGAAATTTATCAGTTGTATGTATGTTAGTTGAGCCATTATTGTATCAGCAGGCATTACTTGGCATGTCAATAGCATGCAGCATGCAGAGTCTATCACTGAGCAGAGTTATAAGGGATCCTTCTCCCCAAGCCATCTGCATAGTGCCTTCTGTCACTATGAAAGCCATCCATCCAGTGGCAGGGAGTTTTTAGCTTAGTCTTGGCTCCATCTCTCCCACTTCTGCACTCACATCATGTAGTGTCTTCAGTAACATGGCCTTACTGACCTTTTCTTATGTACAACCAGCATTAGTGGCAATAGCCCAGGTTAATTTGAGGACCTCTAGGATCTCTCTGGCCAACAGCCCCTAGATGACATCTTGCTGGCGGCAGAGACATAGGAGAAGTGCCTAGCAGGTACGGAGGCTCTTTTACAAGAATTGGGACAGATGGGATACAGAGCCTCAGCAAAGAAGGCCCAGCTCTGCCAGAAAGAGGTAACCTACTTAGGATACCGGCTGAGCGGAGGACAGAGATGGCTGACATCAGCTCGCCAGGAAACCATCTTGGGCATCCCAGCACCTCGTGATCACAGACAGGTGAGAGAATTTCTGGGGACTGCCGGGTTTTGCCGCCTATGGATTCCAGGATTCGCAGAAATGGCGCCCCCCCTGTATCTCCTGACCAAGACAGATGGACCCTTCATTTGGGAGGACCATCACCAACAAGCCTTTTTGTTGGAGGCTCCGGCTCTTGGCCTGCCTGATCTGACAAAGCCATTTGAGCTGTATGTTGATGAAAAGCTGGGGTACGCGAAAGGGGTCCTGACTCAAAAAATTGGGGCCGTGGAGACGCCCCGTAGCCTACTTGTCAAAGAAACTAGACCCAGTGGCTGCCGGCTGGCCCCCTTGTCTGAGAATGGTGGCAGCGCTGGCAGTCCTGGTCAAAGATGCCTTTAAGTTAACCCTGGGTCAGCCTCTTTGTGTTCGGGCCCCCCACGCTCTTGAGTCTCTCATCAGACAGCCCCCGGATCGGTGGCTCTCGAATGCCCGGATGACTCATTACCAGGCTTTGCTCCTGGACACTGACCGCATCCAGTTCGGACCCCCCGTCGCTCTCAATCCTGCAACCCTGCTGCCCACCACAGAAGAACCTGACCCTCGGGATGACCATGACTGTCATCGGGTTCTGGCCGAGGTTTTTGGCACCCGACCAGATCTCAGCGATAAGCCACTGGAGAAGGCAGATTACACCTGGTACACAGACGGGAGCAGTTTCCTCGAAGGGGGTCAGCGCCGAGCTGGGGCGGCAGTCACCTCAGAGAGCAAGGTAATATGGGCAGAGCCTTTACCAGAGGGGACATCGACGCAAAAGGCCGAGCTGGTGGCCCTGACGCAGGCCCTGCGGTTGGCAGAAGGTAAGAAGCTGAACGTATATACTGACAGCCGATACGCCTTCGCTACGGCACACATCCACGGAGAAATTTATAAAAGAAGGGGGCTCCTTACTTCAGGAGGAAAAGAAATAAAGAACAAAGCTGAAATCATAGCGCTCCTAGATGCTCTGTTCCTGCCAAAAGAACTCAGTATTATGCATTGCCCGGGACATCAGAAAGGAAACCAGCCAGAAGCAAAAGGAAACCGGCTGGCCGATCAGACAGCCAGGGAGGCTGCCATGAAGAGTCAAGTACTAACCACGAGAATCGTCCCCGAACAAAAGAGAGACGAGGCCATTAGAAGCTATTCCCAGGAAGACAGAGAATTACTTAAGAAAATGGGAGCCCTCAGTGATCCAGAGACTGGGTATTGGGAATATCAGGGAAAGACAGTTCTACCTCAAAAATCAGTAGAAGACCTCCTAGATGAACTTCACAAATGGACCCACCTAGGAGTCTCCAAAATGAAAAAGCTGATCGAGCGGGAAGAAACAATCCATTATCTGCTAAACAAAGATGCCATCCTACAAAGAATTGTTAAGAACTGTAAGGCCTGTGCCCAGGTAAACTGGGGCAAAAATAAAGCTTCAGGAGGGGTCAGACAAAGAGGCCACAGGCCAGGAATTCATTGGGAAGTTGACTTCACCGAGGTCAAACCAGGAATGTATGGCTATAAATATTTGTTAGTTTTCATTGACACTTTTTCAGGATGGCCAGAAGCCTACCCGACCAAGCAAGAAACTGCAAGGGTGGTATCCAAGAAGCTATTAGATGACATCTTTCCCCGATTTGGGATGCCTCAGGTAATAGGGTCAGATAACGGACCAGCCTTCGTCTCCCAGGTAAGTCAGAAGGTGGCCAGGTTACTGGGGATTGATTGGAAATTACATTGTGCTTACAGGCCCCAGAGTTCAGGTCAGGTAGAGCGAATGAATAGAACCATTAAGGAGGCTCTAACTAAATTCTCGCTAGCAACTGGCACTAAAGACTGGGTGACTCTACTGCCCTTGGCATTATACCGGGCCAGGAACACTCCTGGACCTAGTGGGTTGACCCCATTTGAAATCTTGTATGGAACCCCCCCACCAGCAGTTTCTTTCCTGGACCCTGATATCTCTAACTTTGTTGATTCACCTTCCCTCTTTGCTCACCTGAAGGCACTCCAGCTGGCTCACCAAGAGATCTGGAAGCCTCTAGCTGCAGCCTATCAGGATGCTATTGACACTCCTATTGCACCCCACCCCTTCCAGCCCGGGGACGTTGTCTGGGTACGGAGGCATCAGAGTCGGAGCCTAGAACCACGCTGGAAAGGACCCTACACCGTCCTGCTGACAACCCCTACCGCGCTCAAGGTAGACGGCATCACTACTTGGGTCCACGCTTCACACGTCAAGGCCGCGAACCCAGAACACAGGGAACTACTCGGCAGGGAGAGATGGCGGCTGACCCGGACGCCCAACCCCCTAAAGATAAGACTGGTCAAAGAAAAATAATAATCCTGTTACTCTGGGTAAATCTATTTACTTATGAATTTGCTCCCAGTGATGGGAGCCCCCATACAGCTGTGCCAACTACCTGGCAAGTAATTAATCAAATGGGCATTGTAGTATTTGAGGTCCAAAAAGAGGCACCAAAAGACACATGGTGGCCCATATTGTACCCAGATTTGTGCAAATTAGCTTTAGGGGTACAGGAGCCTTGGGACTTAGAAGGAACCCACGATACTGAAAAGGCACCCAGCATGGCGAGTCCTCCTGGGAGGCTGGGACTGGACCCATGGGGAGGATGCGGCCCTCCTGAACACCGGGCCATGTTGCGTACCTTAACCTTTTATGTCTGCCCAGGCTTTCACAGGGCTGTGTCTCTCAATCCTAAGTGTGGAGGGGGGGGCATTTCTTTTGCAAAAACTGGGGGTGCGAAACCACCGGAGATACTTGGTGGAATCCGTCCTCATCATGGGATTACATCACTGTAAAAGCAAATTATTCTCATGGGACTTTTGAGGAATGGAAAACTACTCATAAACAGGCCTGTGAGGGAAAATGGTGCCACCCCCTCTGCATAGACTTTACAAGTAAAGGTAAAGTGTCATCCCTAAATTGGGACAAAGGATATACTTGGGGAATTAGGTTATATAAAGAACGAGAAGATGATGGCCTCCTTTTTACGATTAAAAGAGTTATGTTTCCCCCACCTGCAGTAGCCATAGGTCCCAACCCAGTCATCAGTAACCAACAACCAGCTTCCCTTCCTTTACCTGCTTTGGTGCCCTCACAAACCCCAGAGACCAATGACTCTGCAGGTCTACCTGACTCTGCCAGTCTGCCTCCCACCACATACCCTGGAACAGGTGACAGGCTCCTGAACCTCGTTAGGGGAGCATTCCAGGCATTGAATCATTCGGAGCCAAATAAAACCAAAAATTGCTGGCTCTGTCTGAACCCGAGCCCCCCTTACTACGAGGGCATAGCCGTCCAAGAAAACTTCTCAGTAATACCTGCGAACTCTGCTGCCCCCCTCGCCTGCACCTCTTCCACCCACACGCTCACCCTGTCTCAGGTTACCTCGACAGGCACCTGTATAGGGAAGGTGCCCGCTGGATTCACACATTGCCTTAAGAATAACTCCTCCCTTTCCCTCCAGGCCAATGCATACCTAGTGCCCCCTAATGGCACCTACTGGGCATGCAGCACGGGACTGACTCCTTGTGTCTCTCTCGCTGTTCTAAATCTAACCCAAGATTTTTGTGTCCTGGTACAGTTATGGCCCAGAATCTATTGGCATGAAGACAATGAGGTATTGCAACATTATAAAGAGACGCCTACCCCTGTCAGATTCAAGCGAGAGCCTTTGAGCATAACCTTAGCTGTATTATTGGGAGCTGGGGGAATAGCAGCGGGCATTGGGACAGGAGCAACTGCTTTAGTTCGCTCAGACCAGTTCATGCTCTTACATCAAGCCATGAACCAAGACCTAATAGCCCTAGAGGAGTCCATAAGAACCTTAAAAGACTCCCTGACTTCTCTCTCTGAGGTAGTACTGCAGAACAGGAGGGGACTAGACTTGTTGTTCCTAAAACAGGGAGGTTTGTGTGCAGCCCTAAAAGAAGAATGTTGTTTTTATGCAGACCAAACAGGAGTAGTGACACAGACCCTAGATAAATTAAAAGAAAGACTAGAAGAAAGAAAACGTAACTTTGAATCTAGAAAAGGTTGGTTTGAGGGGCTATACGATCAGTCCCCCTGGTTTACCACTCTGATATCTTCCCTAGCAGGTCCTCTAGTCCTTTTGCTTCTAATCTTAACCCTGGGACCCTGCATACTTAATCGGCTGGTCCAATTAGTAAAGGATCGACTGTCTGTAGTTCAGGCACTAGTCCTCACCAGCCAGTACCAGGCATTGAGGACCCAGGATCCAGATATATTATAATGAGTGAAAGATTCCACTCATATGTCCAAGAAAAAGGGAGGAATGAGGAAACTAGGCGCCACAAGCCCATTGTCAGCCAGAAGCCAGAACCAGCCTTATCTAAAAGCTGCAAAACAGGCAGGCACCGCTGGTCAAGCTTCAAGGATCAAGCTGTAAACAAATCTTATGGGCGGAAGGACCACCCTTAGGGCCCGATACCAGTAATCCCATTTCCCCTCAGCCCCGACCCTTACCCCATATCTCTGTGTGTTTTCGATACCAGTAATCCCACTTCCCCTCAGCCCCGACCCTTACCCCATATCTCTGTGTGTCTTCGATACCAGTAATCCCATTTCCCTTTAGCCCCGACCCTTACCCCATATCTTTGTGTGTTTTTGAAATGACTCTGTGTTTTTGAATTAACGAATAACTGCTCTTCTGCTTCTGTACCCTGCTTCTGCTCTATAAAAACTGCCAAACCCCAACCTGGGGCGCGCAAGTCCTCCGAGGAGACTCTGTGCCCACAGGTACCTGTGCATCAAATAAACCTCTTGCTGTTGCAACCCGAAAGGCTGACTTGTCCTCAGTGGTTTCAC